CCGTCAGTGTAGAGGCCGCCTCCTTGGGGCACGCGGCAGAATGCGGCAGACTCCAAAAGATGCAGTCAGAGGCTCCAACATGTTCCTGCAACGGCCGCAGTCCAACCCCAAAATTTGTTTGAAAACCTGAGGAACCTGCAAGCCCCACACGCTCAATCCCAGACCCTAAATTGTCTTACATCCGTTCGATTGCTGGGTCTGTTCCGCTGAGCAAGTGGGGCTTGCATGGCCCAAGTATAGAAGGGGCCTCCCAGCACAATGCCACTGGCGACAGTCACGAGAACACTGCAGCCCAGGCTCCATGGTACTGCGCACTGCAGCTGCGGAAGATGGCGGAGCTGTTGCGTCCCTGTGTGAAGTTTTTGCTCACGCGTGCACCTCCGCCGCTCGAACCTGGGAGACAGCACGGGCTCAGACCCGTCACGCTGAGTTCACGGGCTCTCTGCGAAAAATGCGCCAAAACACTTTAGACTAGACCCTTCAACTGGGAGGCGCATGGTCTTACTATGTCTTACCTGCCTGACATCCCCCCCAAATTCGAAGCTCTGCCCTGCAGTGCCGTTGCGCGGAATAATAAGGAGGCCTTCAACTCTCCCACAAGTTCGTCGCTCAGAGAGCTCCCGGATGCAACCGAAGCTCCAAAAGCCGTGCAGTTCTCGAAGATCACCGTGCTTTCTGCTTCTTGCAAGAAGCTGCCGCCAGTGTAGAGGCCGCCGCCTAGACCAGGAAACCCAGGCTTCGAAGGCAAATGCTGAAGAGTAGGGATTCCAGTCGAAATCAGAAACGACCTGAAGGCTTATTGCCTTTGCCGCTCAGGTCTTTCAAGGGCCTCTGCGACCCCTTCAAAGACACATGGGCGCAGGGTCATGGCCGGGATGCTCTTGACTTACGACACAACGACGAAACATTACGCATAGACCAAGCAGAAGAGCCACAGCGGGATGCTCACGACTTACGACACATTACGCAGAAACCAAGCTGAAGTCTCTAAGCAGCTGAACAGAAGACCTCCGGCTTGGTTTGTGATGTTCATTGTGGACAGGACTGGCCTGCTGATGCTCTGCAGTTCTCGAACTTGACGCCGCTGTTGCTGACGATCAAGTCTCGCTGGACGAACAGAGCTCCGCCTTTTCCATCCTGGCCGTTCCGAGCCTGAAAACCTGAAACCCAAACCTGACAGTCGTCGAGAACTCTGCGTGACACAACGGACAGGTCAACTCCGTAAAGCAGCTCCCACAGTTGCGTTGAAACGGGCAGGGCCCTCCGAAGTTAGAACTCCTGCAAATTTGTCTGGGAACACATAAGGAATCGGAAGATCACAGTAACGACAATGCTTCGTTCTACGAGCAAGGCAGCAAGTCTGTTCGAGTGCGATCGACGTAAGGCTTTATCGCGTCGTTCTGCCACAGGGTCGTCCCCCTGAGAAACGAGTTCTGGCAAAGCACAGAGTGGGAATCCACCACTCAGCAGACTAAATTGGATGCCTGCTTCAGCATGCGCCACAGAAACAAAGCCTGGAGAGGGGCTGCCTGGTACTTGTTGCCATTGCTGATGTTGCTTGTAAACATTGCAAGGATGTTGGTAATGGCAATACGCATGCCATGCTGTTGTATGCATGACACTTGGTGATGTATCGGAGGATACTGGCAATGCCACGGTCACGAGCCAAGGCTCGCACTGAGGTTTAGGGTCTTTGGGTGTTCAGGGATTGGAGTTTGAGGGGCGTGTTAGAGGCTACCGGGTTTGCGGTTTAGGCCTCGTGGGTTTAAACAGGTCTTTGCGCGTTCAGGATTTGTTTGGATGCCACCCAGCCCTCTTTCCCAGCCTCCATTCTGTTTCTGCAGCCAACGAAGCTGGCGTTCGCGGCAATCACCGTCATCTTCCCGCTCACATTGATACCTTCATCAGGACCGTAAACCCGAACGGATGCCCCGTTCCTCTTGGGCAGGGCTTGGACGACTCTTCCTGCTGCCCGAGATGCAGGGTCCTTCCAGCTCCTGCTCCCCCATGATCTGTATCTCACCCTTCAACACCAAATCGCCTGTCTCATGCAGTCACTGTCTCAGTTCTCAGCGCGTCAGATCGGAATTCTTCCCTGCTGGACCCAAGCACCACCCTTCTCCGAGCATTCACCTTTTGAAGTACCCGGCCGTAGAAAGCCGCGGGTGCCTTGGAAGGTCAGCGTCTCCTTGAGGGTCACCTCGCAGGCAAACTCAGAGGGTGAAAGGAGGAGGTGAGGTGGCATTGAGTCCTCGGGATGCAAGCGAGGCTGGAGGTAGAGGCGTCGCAAGTTTGAGAGATTCAGGCTTTTGCAGCTTCGCCAGGTATGATCCGTCGGAAGCAGAAGCTTGAGTCGAAGAATCGTGGAGCTAGGGCTAGAGGTTGCAGAGCAGTCGCTTGCAACTTCCAGGCCTGCAGCCCTGGATTGCCATGCCAGGTGCAACTGGTGTTGAAGATGCGTGCCGTGTCAATGACCTGAACACGTATTGGAAGCCAGAGGATGCAAGGCTGGCTGTTGCAACTTCCAGCATTACCAAATGATACTTGCAACCGTCAAGTTGCCGTCAAAAGCTGAAACCCACTCAAGCACAGCCCAGCGACATGGCTGCCATTGTCCGGAAGTCCATCGCAGTGAGAGTATTCGGCCTGGGATGCACAGCAGCTGGACAGAAGTGTAGGGCGGCAAATCGCTGGCATGAAGCGGTTTGGAGTTCAATGTGCGTAGTAAAGACATGCAAAGCTGCTTGCTCTTAAGGCTTGTGGCGAACGCTACACACGCTTGGAGAAGTGTCGCCATGAGAAATCGAAAGGGCTCCGCTTCTCCTTGATTTCGGGTGGCGTTGAATGACGCCACATGGCTTCACGGCTTCCCACGGCACGTCAGCTATCTCTGTACCAGGTGTGAACTCTGAACCTGAGACCGCAAGCAATGCGGACGAGCGACTGATTCGCCTGCCAGAAAAGCCGCACCCGCCTCCACCAGTCAAGAGAGCCCTAAGGTTTAAGTTTGGGGTTTTACACTGACAGGGTCTGACGGGCTGTTGAATGCAGGGGGAGTGATGCAATGCATGTGGGGGCGTTAGCTGGTGTTGGTCAAATCCGAGAGTGCATGTGGCTGTTCCTACCTCAAACCCCTGGATCCCGAAACCCAAAATCAAAACCCTACAAAGCCCTAAACCCTAAGTCCCAGCCTACACCCCACTTTCAACAACACCGAAGAGAACTGAAACGACGACCTCGACAGGAGCTGCCTCACGCAGCGCGGGCTCAAGGTTTCGGGACCTCGAAGCCTTGGTCCAGCCGTAGCTTAGGGGTTCTTGGGCTTCCGGGCTTCTGAGGCTTCTGGGGCCTAGCTCTGGAGCTTAAGCTTTTGGGGCTTTAGGGCTTCTGTTTTGCAAGGGTCCGAATACCCAAACTCGCCGAGTGAAAGGCTGCGCGAGGAAACTTGAAATCTGAGTTAAGAGTGCACTCAGGCTGCAACACAGTGGCAGCCAGTAAGACGTGCGAACACATTAACTGCATCTGCAAGTCCAACACATTCCCAAACCCAGACCTTTCATCCATGGAATCCTCTACCCTGGAGTTTTCAATCCAATGGGGAGAACGGACGCTTATCCTACAGCTGCAAGACCTGCGTCCCTGGCAATCTAAGACACAAGAGGCCTCTGCAATCGGGCGGGCACGTCGAGACGTTACCTTCGGAGCAGAAATTAGTTTTCCAGCTACAGGGCTGTAGGATTATTCGGAGGTTATAGGTCATTGTGATTAAGGGGCGGATCAGGGATAAGAAGCCTCCAAGTGACCAGACACAGCCGAAAACCGGATGCGCTAGAAGGTAAAACAAGGTTGAGCCATTAAGATCTCGAGAGGGCTGATGTGCTCAGAGCTGGACTTGGGACGGACGCCCTCGGCCTCTGTTTCCAGGAGCTGCCGCACCTCTTCTCGGGAGGGGCGGACGGCGCAGCCGGTGATCCACAGCCCTTGGGCAGCTTTTGGGCTGGCGGGTGGCTTGGGTGCGACATCCGCTTGGAAACTCGGATCAAGCCAAGGCTCCCAGAAGGACCGTGACGAAGGTCACGGCGCGGGCCATGAGCCACGAGACATGGAATGCGCACGCCGGCTTCAAGCCGGAGAGCTTATGAAGTCAAACAACGGAGCCATGAGCTCTCTGGCTCAGAGCCAGGGCTGTGGCTGCAGGAGTCGAGGAAGAAACATTTGTGGATAAGTTCACACATAATTATGTAGTTTCGACTCTCTGCAAATACGACTCCGTTCACTTCTGTAGATATCTGGTCTCGGTGGTATCGGGTCGGGTGGGGATGGGTCGGGGTTGAGCTGGGATGCATTTTGGGGAAGACATTGTACATCCTAAACCCTAAACCTTTTGGGGAAGACATTGTCAGTCATGGAGGCTGTACTTCTAGAAATGCAAAGCTTACGATGTGTGAGCATGCTTTGCACGGAGGGAACCGGTTTCATGCCTTGGGAAGGGTTTAGGGTTCAAGGTTTGGGGTTTAGGGTTTAAGGTTTGCGATTTAGGGTTTAAGGTTTGCAGTAGAGGAATTAAGGAATTAATGTTTAAGTTATCGGGCTGAGGTGGAGAAGTTGCAAAAAGCGTGAGAACCGAAGAAGCTATAGTTCAATTCCCAGACAAAGGCTGCAGAGGTTCCGGTTTCGGAACACTGGTAAACATGAAGGTGTCTCGCAAAAAAGAAGTCCCTGCCATAGACTCAAATTCCAAGATCCTGACTATGAGCAACCCCTAGACAAGGTACCCCTAATCCGGGGTTGGTGTTGGGGGATGTGTAAGGATTCAGCCTTTAGGGATGTGCGTTAAGGGGTCGGAACTGGAGAATGCCTCTAGTAAGCAATCTCTTATCCTATGAGAAGCCCTTTCTAAGTGTACTTTGATCTGTCCGCAAAGCCCTGTTGCAGCTAGTATGGCCCACAGAACCCTGATAAAGCCTATACAACCCGAATTCAAAAACCCTTCAAATTCTTAAGGCACCGTCGTTTTCATTTCACCACCCTTTGCAAAGGTCGAGGCTATAGTCCTCCAAGCTCACTTGGCTGCTTGCCTCCGGCAGACCATCGGTTAGGTGGCTGGGGTTTAGGGTTTAGGGTTTAGTGTTTAGGGGTTTATTTCGGGTTGAGGGGCTCCTTTACCGTTCTATATGGACTCGATACGGGATTTGGCAGCATATTGGCCTCAATAATTAGAATAGGGTTTGGGTGTGGAATATTTTATAAGTATAACAAGGACTAGGGACTAGGGAATAGTATTGTGATGGTAACGCTTCAAGCTTCTATATTCGGGTTTAGTGGACTATGGAACTTTAGTAGGGCTCCTATGGGCCTGTCAGGGTGCTAGTTGTTGAGGGCTTCACGGGCTATGGGGTTACGGCTGAAAGGAATCCTGCATGCACACAAATCTTGTGCTCGCAAGAAGAAGTCCCGATCAAGACAAAACTTCCTTAAGCCCGAAGTTCGCACCGGAGCTGCAGACACAACAGGACCCTAATGTAGACCCCGAAGTAGTGAGGACTTTATTGTACTGTAAGGACCTCCAACAAAATTCCGAACGCCACCGACAAGCTCAATCCCGCTTGTTTATGGATCCTGATAGTAAGCACCTACGGTTTAGGGAGTGTTTCGGGCTTAGGGTTTGTACAGCAAGGAAACTAGCCAGGCTCAATGTTTAGTGTCCCTGGGTGCAGAGGCATTTGCACAGGGCCAACCCGAACACAGGAATGTGGAGTCAAGGGCTTCCACAACCAGCAAAGCACACAAATTACGATGCCCGAACGTTGCAAAGACTCGAGCTCCGAAATTCCAAACTCAAGCACGAACCAGGCCGCGGCAGATTGCCAGAACAGCCCTTTTCTCTTCAAGCTGAGGCGCCCTATAAACCCTAAACCCCTCAACCCATGGTTCTTCCTGCCTCTGTTCCCGGACCAGCTCTTGGATCACTCGAAAAACCATGATGGCACCTGGAGCCCGTAAGCTGAACTCGCAGCCCCAACCTCTGAAACCCTAAACCCTGAGCCCTAACCTCAGCCTGTATCATGGCGCTTGGGATCAGGCCCGCGAAACCCACACAAACACAAGAATCCTATATGTGGGGGATACAGGATCAAAATCACAGACAGAGAAAGCCCTGAGATGTCGTGGTCGTAGTGGTTGTTGTTGCTGTTGCTTTTTTGTCGCTGTCAGCTGTCCGCTGTCCGCTGTCGCTGTCACTGTCGTTGGTGCTGCTGTGGTTGTGTTTGTGGTTGTTGCCAGATTGTGTTGGTGTCGGCAGTTGGGTGGTTTGCTGCCGCCACCGCCACCACCGCTGCTGCTGCTGCTGCTGGTTCTAGTGCAGGCGCTGGCGCTTGGGCTGCCGCTGGTGCTGGTGCTGGTGCTGGTGCTGGTGCTGTTCTTGCTGCTGTTGCGGTTGTTGCAGTTTTCGTTGCCACTGCAGTTGTTCATAGTTCTTCTCATTCTCACTACATTATCATTTTCTTCTTCTTCATCAACATCAACATCATCATCAGTCATCAGAAACAAACGCCATCACCCTTGTCACCGTCACCAACATGCCAATTCTGTCGATGAACCCAACGAGAAGGACAGAAACGACGCAGCAGCAGCAGCAGCAGCAGCAGCAGCAGCAGCAACAATCAACACCATCGACAATACCTGCAACAGCAGCAGAGATAACAGTAGCACTGGTAATTTTCACTGTCTTGATCGAAGTACAATGCCACAAACTACAGCCGCTTTGGGGTTCAAGCAATTCATGCCTTGCAGTATGGGGATCTCAACTTGTGGGGCTCTCATGGCAAAGGAGGGGGGGGGGGGCGTCAACCTTCGCTGCTTCACCAAGCAGCTTGCCACCGCCGCAATGCCTGCAGTTGCGAAGATGATCGACTGCTGAGTGGGTACCGAGTGCCCCCAGTGGAACTCATTTGCAAGCCTCAGCAGTCTTGGATGCAATGACCGTGCCGCTGCTTCTTGCTAGGGGATGCATGCTGAACCTGAATAATTGATGATACTACCTCAATATGACTATGCTTTCATGTACCACAAAACCCATTCCAAACTTAAATGCACGGGCTTCGGGCTTTTTGTTTTTAATCCCGAGACCTCAGAACGGAGGAGCTCCGGTCTTAGAACTGACTGTCCCGTTTTGGGCTGAGGGTACTGGGTTTAGGGTTTAGACTCTAAACCCGGAATCCTACAGCCTCAATTCCACAGCCTACACCCTGAACCCTGCAAAAATGGACCCAGAACCTTCAGCCGCAAACCGTGAACTAAACCCTCAGCCGCGCGGCAAAGTGGACACACTTGTAATCATCACCGTCGCAGCGAAGAGCAAGCAGATTTCGATCCTGCAGGCGGTTTTGGGGGAAACCCAGAACCCCAAGCATGAAACCAAAACACCCCGCGAATCCTCAACCCTAAACCCGAAACCCGTAAACCTAAACCCTAAACTTTCCTAAACCCTCAACCTCAAGTCCAAAACTCCAAACGAACCGAAGTGTCTGGACTCTGGAGGCTCTCCAGGCCTTGAGTCTGGTAGCGAACCGCAGCAAGCTCGGGTTTAGGGTTTAGGGGGAGTAGGGTTCTTGTAAGGGGTTTCACAGTTTATGGGGTGTTATGAACTTTAATAACTTTTGGGAGATGTTATACTCACACGGCTGTCAAGACAAAGCCTAGATGGTACGATCCTGAATTCTTTGCCCTTACCCTAGCCCGACTTGCTGAGAGTTTAGCCAAACATCAACCACTTAATTGCAGAAGCTTTACTGGCTAGAACAAGACTTTGGGAGTGCCTTTCCTAGCAAGACTATCCCGATCTCTTTACTAGACCGGAACCCAGCGCTCCAGTTCCACTCCGACGAGTGGTAGGGCTTGTAGCGGCAGTACAGAAACAGCGACACTGAAACCACAATGCCTGGCAAAGTCGTCCGCTCTGATAGGACCATTCAGAATCTCAAGGTTCCTAGGGTTCAGGGATCAGGGTGGATGACGGTTCTGCGGTTTTCGGTGCTCAGGGTTCAGGTTCTGGACAACAACACGGACTGGATCCTTCATTATGCGACTGCACCCGCCGATCTCAGAAGCTTCCGAGACTTCTGGATGCAAAAGTCCCTCCTTATAGTCCAATGCCTCCCTGGCTAGAGTTAAGCTTTCAAGCCTTTCGGGGTTCGGATGTAAAATCGGTTCGAGGAGTCTCCGGTCTAAGACTGACATTCAGAGTCTGGAAGGTCGCCAGCCAGATTCACGAAGAATCTCCAGGCTGCTGGCCTCCTTGCTCACGGAGCCCTTTCGCAATATTTTGCAGACTCTGAACAGTCATCTGATCCCCTAAATAGAACCCCATCCAGCATGACAAAAGCCTAGAAGGCTCGGCCCTATCTTCTGTTACACACGCTCGCCTAGGCAGCCCATTTGCAACGCTGGCGAGGAGTCGATGGGCAGCAAGGCGCCGATGAAAGTGAAGAGCGTCTTCCTTCCACCAAGTTCAAGAAATGGGGCGCGGTTCTGTTCCGGAACAGACAAGGTATGACAAGGATGACAAGGTTCACGCGACGCACACTTCTTCTAGCAGTTATGAACACTGGTGGGCAAAAGCGTCTTGCAAATGTTCACACGTAAGCCCTTTCGTCTGCTGGGCCCCGTGGGGACCAATCCCCAAGTGAGTGCACATTTAAACGTCCAGACCCGTC